CCGTGGTTTCCCCTTTTTTTTTTTTGAAATTTTTTTTTTTTTTTTTTTTTTTGCTTTTGGGCATGTGCTGGACAGAAAGAGAAAGTGAAAAATCATCCCCCAAGGGGATGTCCACACCTCAATCCCTTCTCCTCCATTCTCCTCTCAGGATTCTGGGCATGCACACACGCACACGTCTGGAGTGTTTTTCAAGCCTCTGGATCCAGGTCTTGAACTACACAGTCAGCCATGTGGGTCTAGTCACCTTAACATCCACACCACCACCTGGCCCTAAGATCTCCGTTTTCCTGGACCACTAATGATACGTTTGGACCGGTTGTCTTTAAAGCCCCTCTTGGCCCTGAGATGTAGGAATCTCCCAGCGCCAGACTGGGAATTTCCATTCGGCAGCCCCGGGCTGTGTGCGTGGGCAGGTTTCCACTTGGGAGCACATGGTGGGGCCTGGCTGGCAAGCAGCGCAGCTCGGGTGGTTGGGAAGGGAACCTGGACGCAGGGCAGATCTCAGCCCAACCAGATAAACCCCCTGGGCCTGCAGCCCCCCAGGCAGCTCCCAGGGGTGTCCTCCATCCTCCCTCAGGACAGAAAGTGTGACAAAGGAGGGACACACTCAAGTTGTCAAAGTGACCAGAGGCTGCACCTTCTCAGGGTCTCTGTCGGGTGGCTGTGAGGGGCACCCTTGGGTCCCAAGTCAGCCTCTCAGGACCAGCTGAGGAGACCTTGCCCAGGCAGGCCAGAGGCCTCAGTGGCCAGACAACAGGGACCTGCTGGTGGCGGGGGGGGCTCAAAAAAAATACGCCGCCATTCCTGCCGTTGTCTCAGGCTCCACCCCTGCCCTGGGACCAGAAGTGCCATCTTCCGGCTGGTCCCCTCTGACACCCACCTGCAGTCCTCAGAGGCCTCATTAGGCTGCTAGTGTCTCCAGCCGAGTGCTCAGAGACCTGGAGGTGTGGCGGGCGGGCCTGACGTCACAGCCCAGTTGGTCGCTGGGGGCTGAGCACAGCGGTCCCTGCCGAGGAAGGGCAGGAGTCCATGGGAGCAGCCCCCTGGGAGCTGTCCCCCTCTCTCCGTCCAATACCAGAAGGATGCTGGAGGCAGCGACTGGCACCCCAGGCCCCAGGACTGTGCCCTGCAAGCCTCCCCACTCCACCAAGCACAACTTCTAAGGGACTAGAGCTCTCTGTCTGGCCTCAGGGGACTCCCAGCTACAGAGCAGGACCTCAGGGCAGGACGTATCAGGGTGATGGAGGATGGAGGTACAGCTGAGTGAAGGCTCAGGGGACCCACAAATACCCCTGAAGGGCACCCTTGGTCCCTTCTGCTGGCTCCAGCCCTCCTGGGTCCCGGCAACCTTGTCAGGCCCTGGGCTGCCGACAGGGTGCTGGCTATGACACATTGAGCCGGGGGAGAGGGATGATGTGGGGGGCTCGGGTTTGTTTTTTGAGGCAGGAGCTTCCCTTTCCTCACATGCCAGGTGGAGGGCAGAGAATCCCCCGCCGTCACGTGGATCCCTTGCCCCAACCTGCCCAGCAGGAGGGCACGCGGTAAGGGCTCCCTTGCCAACCCCTCCTCCCCACCTGTCTCTTCCCGCCCTGGTGTAGCTGAGGCGTGGAGGAGGGAGTGCCACTCTCCATCCAGGCCCCAGGCAGCCCGCAGTCCACAGCTCTCCTGCACCTGCGGACCCAGCAGCAGCTCTGCCATGGACAGGTGGTACCTGGGTGAGTCCCCCGAGCCGGGCCCTTCCCTCCTCAGCTCTGACAAGGGCATGCACCCCATCATTTCCACACTCACTCCTCAGCTCCCCAGAAGTGTAGGAAAACAGAACCCAGGAGAGGCAGCATTTCCAAACAGCCTCCATTTGGAGGCTTGGGCCTGGGGGCAGAGCATCCCTGAGGGGCAAGAGCTGGCAGACAGTCCCTCCAACAGCCTCCACCTCCGCCGGTCCGTCTGTGTGCCTGTGTGTCCATCCACCCTTCTGCAGGAACTCTGAAGCCAGCCTGCTCAGCCTGCTGGCTTCACGTCCAGCCTGACCTCGGGAAGTTAATGTCCCTGTGTTTTAGCCTCTTCCTCTACAAAACGGAAGCGAAGATAATGCCCTCCGTACTCACAGAGCGGCTGCAGTGTTTGAAGGGGCCGATTTCTACCATAGAAGGTGCTTCCAAAGCACCTTGCATGATGAGATCAAAGCTGCAGCTGTCCACCTGCTGTCCCTGCTGTCCCACCGTGTGTACCTCTCTGTCTACCACCTGCCCGTGTATCTACCTAGGTACCTGTCTATCATCGAGCTATTCCATAACCATCGATCCGCTCCATCTACCTGTTCTATGCGTATATGTATCTATCATCTATCTGTCCGTCTATCTGTTCTGTCCATCTGTCTATCTGTTCTATCATCTATCTGTTCTAACTATCATCTGTTAAGAGCTATCACTGGGCCCAGCAGTTGGTGTAATGACTATGTCGCTGGATTCCCATGTGGTCGACTGTGATTCGAGTCCCGGGCCCCGCGGCTTAGACTCACGCTGGGCACATGTGCATGAATGCTCAGGATCCTGAGAGGAGAATGGTGGAGAAGGGATTATGGCGTAGCCATCCCCCCGGGGGGTGATTTCTCACTTTCTGTCTCTCTGTCTCTCTGTCTCTCTCTCTCTGTCTTTCTGAGGAGCTCATGTGCCCTATAGCAAAACCCTCTAAAAAAATGGCTATCACCTATCTATCATGTGTATATTCTACCATCTATCAATCATCTATCTATATACCTACCATATCTATCAGTCTATCATGTCTGTCATCTATCTCTGTCTCTGTATCTATTCTGTCTACTCTGTCCTTCCTCTGGTCCTTCCATATTTACCTACCCCACTGTTGCAGCCAGGCTCCGTAGTTTGCGGGACAGACAACATGCTGAGGTCTCAGCCCACGCATAGCCAGGGAGGGCGCCGCTGTGTGTGTGTGTGTGTGGGGGGTGGTGGGGGGGCATGGGCTTTCTTTTCC